AGCTGCTTGAATGGATGTGGGGAATCAGGGGTGGAAAGGAGGAGTGTGCTGTCACAGTATGGGGAGAGCAATTAGAGTCACATAACAATGTATGTATAAATTTTTGTATGAGAAAAAATTAAAAAATAAACAAAAAGAAATGAATACTTCACACACACAAAAAAAGTTGTGGTATCTCCATACAACAGTACTACTCAGCAATAAAATGAACTATTAATATTCTTAACAACATGGATGAATCTCACAATAATTATGCTGAATGAAAGAAGCCAGACCAAAAGAGTACACACTGTATGATTCCATTTACATAAAATTCTAGAAAATACAAACTATAGTGACAGAAAGCAAAGCAGTGATTACCCGGGGATGGGAAGGAGCGGGAAGAGGAAGGAGAGAGGAAGGGATCACAAGAAAGCTTTTGGGAGCAATGGATATATTCATTATCTTGATTGTGTTTATAGTTTTATGGTTTTATGCATAGGTCAAACTCATCTAATTGTATACTTCATACATGTGCAGTTTATTTTATCTTCATTATACATCAATAAAGCTGTGAAAAAAAATTCATGGATTCAAATGATTAGCCTCCCTCCCTCTTACCCCCTCCTCCCAAAAAAAAATCTCTTTGGAGATTGCTAGGGTGTCAATTCATAATTCTTATATTTGATAAAGGTAAAGAACACAGCGTTTATCCTGCCATTACTGTACAAACTGTATTTCAGGGTATCCCAATAGTTATTTGGTGAAAGTTCTTCTTTATAGAAGATCATAGCTAATAAATGCAATAGGAAGGAAACAATGAGAAAATCCCTATTTTGCATCCCACAATGAAAGAATAGATCTAGATAACTATCACTAATGGTGCTTAAAGCATCAGGTGAAAGGTAAACGAGGAACTTATTTTAATGGCTAAATCAGGCCAATATCACCTAAATACACTGACTAATCTTTACCAGAGGGACACTATGTGACTCCGAATACATTACAGTCAAAAATACATGGCACCGTTTACGAAGTATTTTCACAAAAAAGTGGGGTGAGGGAAGGAGGAAGAGAGAAAGCGAGGGAGGGGGCAGGAAACAACCTGAATCAGATCAAGTCTTTACATCTAACTACCAGATTAAAGAGAAATTTTTTTAAGTGACACCTTGAGGATACAATCAGCCAAAATATAAAATGTAGGAAATTCTTTAGAAAAAAATTATCTAGTTTCTACAAAGAATAAATTGTATATATTTTTAAATGTTGAAAGAAGAATTGTTCAAATTAAAAAGCCTTAAAAGTCTTATCATTCAAATGCAATGTATGGAGCTCTTTTTTTTTTTTTTTAATTTGTGAAAGTTTACAGCTCAAGTTAGTTTCTCATACAAACATTTATACACACATTGTTATGTGACCCTAGTTGCTATCCTTATAATGTGACAGCATACTCCTCCTTTCCATTCCGGATTTCCCATGTCCACTCAACCAGCTCCTATCCCTTTCTGCCTTCTCAACTTGCCTCCCAGGAGCTGCCCATTTAGTCTCGTGTATCTACTTGGACCAAGAAGCACACTCTTCACAAGTATCATTTTATGTCTTATAGTCCAGTCTATTCTTTGTCTGAAGAGTTGGCTTCGAGAATGGTTTTAGTTCTGGGTTAACAGAGAGTCCAGGGGCCTTGTCTTCTGGGGTTCCTCCAGTCTCAGTCAGACCATTAAGTCTAGTTGTATGAACCTCTTTTAATCCACACTGTACTGTAAAAACTATTTTGAAGACAATTTGGAAATACTGAATATGATATAGGCGTTAGATGATATTCAGGGATTATTTGTTAATTTTATTGAGCATAATAACAGTAGTATATATGTGTGTTTTAAGTCCCTGTCTATTAAAGACACATGGCATGGAAGTATTTACACGTAGAATTACATAGTGTCTGGCATTTGCTTTCAACTACAGCACACACACAAAATAAGTGGCAGGGCCGGGGACAGATGAAAAAAGAATGGCAAAATGTTGATAACTGTTTAAGTTAGACCTTGGGTACACAGGGGTTCACGACACTATTCTCCCTAGTTTAGCATTATGTTTAAAAATTTCCATAATAAAAAGTTTCCATTCTTTTTTTTTAATTAAAAATAATTATAAAATTTAATTAGAAGTTAATATGTTGGAAAAAGCAGAGTCTAAAGTAACTAACCTCTGTCCTGAAGCAAGGGCAATGGGTGACTGTCCATTGGGGGGCCGAGGCTCCTCACAAGTCTTCATCTCCACCTCTACCTTATCCAGACACTGAAATAAAAGCCTTGAAGAGCTAAGCATCTGCACAAAAACCCACACAGCAGCACAAAGGAAGACAGCACAGACTGTGTCTTATTCACCTATGTGTTCTGGTGGCTCATTAAGTGTTGGGCCCATAGTAGGCAGACAATAAATGTCTGCTGAATGAAAGAATGAATGAATGAACGAACTGAAATGCAAGGAAAGCCCTCATCTTTCTCCTTCCATTTCCATTAGCAGTAGAACCTCATGACAAACATGGGGTTACCTCACAGCAGAAAGGTAAAACACAAATCCAAATTACAGGGAGGGATATTACTGTTCCTGGGCAATCCAGACTTTAGGATAAAATCCGAAGGGCTTTCAGATGATGATAACCCAGTAGTCAACATGAACTAAACTTCTAATTTTTTCTCTTAAAGGATTCCAAAGGAAAATAGGTAAATCTAAGTAGCTGGGTAAAAATTTGTTTAAAAAAAAAAAAAAAAAACACTCAGGAATCCTGGGCCTTGTACATTGGCACTAACTCCTATACACTACATAGGAATTCCAGAATAAGTTCAATTGATAGTCACTCTGTGTCAGAGAGAAGCCCACAGAGCCAGATAGAAGCACCCACCATTCCCTAAACGGACAGCCTGTCAGGACTCCTCCCCATCTTCTCTCAGATCTTTTAAAAGTCTACCCCAGCCATCCTCATTTGATTACTTGTAATCAAGAAAGGCCATTACCAAGCAAATTGGATGCGTCTTCAACTTTGTCCACTGGATCTGAAAGAGGAAATCAATGACTCAGGGCTGTGGGAGCTGCTCTCAAGAAGGCAAACCTGCTCACTAACGGGAGCAGCAGCACTCTGACCCCCATTCTCACCCGGATAGAGGCCCTGTTGCAGTAGACACGAGTGATGGCCAACCAGGTGGGCAGCTCCAGCACATTCTGTAAAACCTCTTCATCCAGCTCCAGGTTGGTCAGCTGACCCTCTCCCTTCAGGGTGCTCAAGTTGATTTTGTCCGGGGAAAGATTCTTAGTGAACCTGGAGAGAGTGATGGTAAGAAGCTATTACTTCCATGGGAATACGGTGAGTAGACATTATAGCCAATAACACTTCTGAATTTGGAGAAAAGAGGAAGTTAAAGAACAAATATTGACTAAGACCTCACCATCCCTATACCATGTTAGATGTTAGGCAGACCCATCATCCTTATTATGATTGCATCACTGCCCTACTCAAGAACCTACAATGGGGATTTTAGGAAAATGACCATAGCAGTGGCAGCATAGCCTTTGGATATTCCCAAATCGCCACATAAACACAGGGAGAATAACTAGATAGCAAAACAAAACAAAAAACCATGGATATCACTTAAAACAAAATTAGAAGAAGTATCCCCATAAACTCCCATATACAAGCAGGTGGAGAAAAAACAATAGCCGCAAGACTTGAGCGCAATAAGTGGCTGTGTAGAACAAATAGAGGGAAGCAATAGGACATCTGACAAACTTGAAAACAGGAGAACCACAAAATAGACAACAAGTATTAAATGAAAAGGAAAATGGGCCATTTTGAGAACAGTAACTGAAACTGGGAGGTGTTTTTGTCCACTGCAAACGGTCCCCAGTGAAAAAAACCCGTTGCTGTCGAGTTGATTCCAACTCATAGCAACCCTATACGACAGAGTAGAACTGCCCCATAGGATTTCCAAGGAGTGGCTGGTGGATTTGAACTGCTGACCTTTTGGTAAGCAGCCAAGCTCTTAACCACTGCACCACCAGGGCTCCAAAGGGTCCCCAGGAAGGCCTAAAGTAGCTAGAGCAGTCTAGCCCTGAAAACTCACAAAACTGACCTTCCAAGGCTCCTTTCTAGGGCAAGGGTTCCAGACTGAGAAGAAACTGATGGAAGTGGAATCAAAATTGAGCAAGGTAAGGATGATAGAAATGAAGAAAAGAGATAGCTTAAATAAAAGTGGGAAAGAGGAACAGACCAGGATATCTCAGAAAGCAAGCCATTATGTATTTTTTAACACTACTTCAAACAACAAAAGAGGCAGCCTTATGAACTTAAAAGAGCCATCTGAAGCAAGCCTGCTTTCAAAATTCAGGAAATCAAATTCACAAATAAGTTGAGCAAGAGAAAAGCTACTATGAGAAAAGAGAGAATACAGAGCCAATCACAACCACAGAGTCAAACCATACAGCATGCCAGAAAGACAGGCTCAAAAAATACACATTAAAAAAAACACACATAAAACCATAAAATACTATTTTAAAACAACTAAAAAATTTTAAGAAGATGATGCAAGACATAAAAGAACAACCCAAATCAAAATTAGAAAAGCTCAGAAATGAGGTGATAGTATTCAAGAATTAGAAACAGGAGGGGGAAAAAAATCATATAAATGAAAACTAAAGTAGAAGGAAGACAATACAAGTGTGACTAAATAGAATAAATAATGCCTTAAGATAATAGGTAGGTGAAAATGAGAAAAAAATTTAAAACTATTAAAAGAATAAAGATTTGGAGTACTATGCAATGAGAAAGAACAACAATGAATCTGTGAACCATCTCATAACATGGGTGAAACTGGAGGACATTATGCTGAGTGAAATAAGTCAATCACAAAAGGACAAATATTGTATGAGACCTTTACTGTAAAAACCCATGAAAAAGTTCACACACAAAATGTAACAATCTTTGTTGGTTACCAGGGATGGGAGGGGTGGGGGGGGAAATACTAAATAGGCAACAGATAAGTGGTATCTTGGGTAAGGGTGAGACAGTACACAATACAGGGGAAACTAGCACAACCTGTACAAGGAAAGGTCATGGAAGCCCCATAGACACATCCAAACTCTCTGAGGGACTGAATTGCTGCGTGGAGGGCTCTGGGGATCATGGTCTCAGGGAACATCTAGCTCAATTGGCATGACACAGCTTATAAAGACAATGCTCTACATTCTACCTTGGTGAGTAGTGTCTGGGGTCTTAAAAGCCTGTGAGCGGCCATCTAAGATACTCCACTGGTCTCATCCCTTCGGGAGCAAGGGAGAATGAAGAGAACAGGATACAAGGAAAAGATTAGTCAGAAGGACTAATTGTCCACAGCTACCAAGGCCTCCACCGGACTGAGTCCAGTACAGCTAGATAGTGCCCGGCTACCACCACTGACTGCTCTGACCAGGATCACAACAGAGGGTTCTGGACAGAGCTGGAGAAGGATGTAGAGCATAATTCTAACTTACAAAAAAAAGACCAGATTTACTGGCCTAAAGGAGACTGGAGAAACGCCGAGAGTATGGCCCCCAGACACCCTTTTAGCTCAGTGGTGAAGTTACCTCCGAGGTTCACTGTTCAGCCTGGGAGTGGACAGCCCTGTAAAACCAAATGAGACTAACGAGGTACAGGAGTCCAGTGACAAGGGCCAGAAGGCGGAAGGGGACAAGGAAGCTGGTGACAGGGAACCCAAGGTTGAGTAAGGATATTGTTGATGTGTTGTGAGATTGTTAACCATTGTCATAGGGCAACATTTGTAGTAACTGTTAAATGAGAAACTATTTTGTTCTGTAAGCCTTCATCTTAAGTGAGAATAACAGCACAATTGGAAGAGCGTAGTCAATGTCACTGAACTGTGTATGTAGAAATTTTTGAAACCGTGTATCTTTGGCTATGTGTATTTTCACCAAAAAAAGAAGGTTGAGAAGATAGAGGGTTAATATGTTGTGGGGTTGTTAACCAATGTCATAAAACAGTATGTGTACTACTGTTTCATGAGAAACTATTTGTTCTGTAAGCCTTCACCTGAAGTACAATAAAATATATATTAAAAAAAAAAGAATAAAGATAAAAGGAATTTGAGATAAAATGACAAAAGATTCAGGACAAAGAAGTTTCAAATATGGACAATAACAGTCCCTGAAGAAGCACACCAGAGCAATGCAGTAGAACAAACAGTAAAAACCATAATTGAAGATTTTTCTAAAATAAAATGGATATGAAACTAGAATTTGAAAAATCACATCATGTACCCAAGAATATCAACCCAAAACAACTAATATCAAGGCATTTTCTATTAAAATTAATGAACTTTAAAGAAAAAAAAAATTCCTTGGACATCTCAGCGAAAAGAATATGGGATATATAAGGAAAAGTTTTTTTTTTTTATTAGTGACAAACTTTCTGTCAGCAACACTTTATGCCAGAAGAAAATTTAGTAACATATTTAACATACTCAAAGGAAAAAAAAATTCAAGCCAAGGAGTTTGTATTCATCAAAACAACCTTCAGGTATAACAGGCACATATAAACAGTTATCAACATGCAAGAATGCAGGGATTATTGTTCCTAAGGACTCTACTACAGAACAGTCTTCAGCCAACAAAAAAATAACAGAGACACCGACATACGAATTAATGGTGAGGATTAAATATATAATTACTTGTAGATATAAAACTAAACAAGGGCTAAAAAGGTGAGATTATGATATGTAATGTCTGACAATGTAGCTATAGTGCTACCGTTTAAAAAAAAAAGGAGGGGGAAGAATGGGATAGCATATGCCAAAAAATAATTTTTTAAAACAATTTTCAGTATAACTGGTACTATTAGTATTAGATATTATGATTCAATTCTGAGCCTGTTGTATGTGTAAAGTGGAACAAAGTGAGTAAGAATGGGATTTTCTAATACTATATCATCCTTTGTGTCCTTGAGAAGTAGGATTCTTGGTGTGTAAGATATAATATACAAGAGTCAGGTAAAAACCCTGTAGTCCTGAATTTGAACTGAAAATATTAGTATAAACTCACAAGGCCCTTCCCTCACCTTTCTCTCCACCTTCATTCTGTCCACTGAAAATAACAAGAAACAATGATCAATCCAGTAACAATGGGCATCCCTAGTACTCAGGTTGTGATCTTGAAATGTCATTTCCCATAAACAGAAAACAGGGCTTTTTGGAGAAATTACTAGTTCTAAATCTGGAACAGGAAATATACAAGATAAACCTGAAACATCTTATCATATGAGACAGCAAGAAAGCTACCCAAGACTATTAGGCTCATGTCAAAAGAACACAGGAACTAACTTGAAGAGGTCCCACTGGCCAAAGAAGGGACAGATTAAACTTCAATAAGGATAAGAACTGTGATGGATTAAAATCTATCAAATATATCTAAATCCATGAGATCATAGTGATGTTAAAAAATTAATTGGTCTCTTCTTGAGGATGAAAGTTATTAACTTCATTATCTTGAAAACTGTCTAAATAAAAAAAAAAAAACCCAAGCGTTTAGCCTGCCTTTCCATATAACCAGGTGACTAAACTGTAAATTAAGGGAAGTATCTTCTTATAAAATTACTCCAGTTAATAAACGAAAACAAATTGAAAAAATTAGAATAAAACCATTTTGCAAGTCCCTATGAGTTAATAGCTCTAGGTATCCAGTACAAACGGCTGCTAACTTTAAAAAAGCACAAAATCTAGATATTATGTGCCTCGTGATGAAAGAACTGAAAGCAGGGACCCAGATACTTGTACACCAATGTGCATCGCAGCACTATTCATGATAGCCAAAAGGTGAAAACAATCCAAGTGCCCATCGACAGATAAAGGATAAACAAAATGTGGTATATCCATACAACAGAATACTATTCAGCCATAAAAAGGAATGAAGTTTTGCCACAACATGGATGAACCTTGAAAACATTATGCCAAGTAAAATAAGTCAGATACAAAAGGGCAAATATTGCATGATTCCACTTACACGGAAAATAGGCAAATGTGTAAAGACAGAAAGCAGAATAGAGGCTGGGGGAAGAGGGAATGGGGAGTTACTGCTTAATGGGTACAGAGTTTCTATTTGGGGTAATGAAAAACTTCTGGAAATAGTGGTGATGTTTGCACAACATTATGACTGTAATTAATGCCACTGACTGACAATGTAGCTATAGTGCTACCATTTAAAAAAAAGGGTGGGGGGAAGGGGGAAGAATGGGATAGCATACACCAAAAAATAATTTTTTAAAACAATTTTCAGTATAACTGGTACTAGTAGTAAAAATCGTTAGAATGGCAAATTTTATGTTATGTATATTTTACCACAATTAAAAAACAACAACAACCCAAATGAAAAACTAGATTGCTGGACACCAATTCCAGAGTTTCTGACTCAGTAGGATCTCCAGGAGAGCCTGAGAATTTACATTTCTAACAAGTTCGCAGATTATGCTGAAGTTGCTGATATAGAGAGTACAAACTGAAAACCACTATTTCAGAGATACGTTCTGAAATATTTACAGATGTAATTATACGATATTTGGGATTTGTTTCAAAATAATCTAGGAGATGAGAGAAGGAAGTAGGAATGAGGTAATACATTACAAAAGATTAACCATAAGCTGGTAATTGTGGAAACTGGAAGATTAAAACATGGAAGTTCATAACACTCTTCTTTTTACCTTTGTATGTGCTGGAAATTTTCTATAATAAAAGTTTTTAAAAAGGAAGGAAGGAAAAAGGATATGGAAGAACTAGCAAAAAAGAGAGAGGAAAAAAAAAGAAGGAAGGAAGTTAAGAAGACAACCAAAATTAAATAAACCAAATAAAGTAAAATATTTACAAATGGGAAAAAAAAACTATATTATATGGTGTTCAGGGATACATATGAATGCACTTGTATGTTAACAACAAATTCGAGAAAGCACTTACTCATTAGGGGAGAAGAGCATGTAACCAGGAAGTCGTGAAAAGGGGGCTTTAACTGTATACCAAAACCCATTGCCATGGAGATGATTCTGACTCACAGCGTGCCTTTCAACTATATGGATAACGCTTATTTTTCAAATTGGGTGATGACAATATGACTGTTCATTTTATTCCCCTATACCTTTCAGAGCCCTGGTGACGCAGTGGTTAAGAGCTCGGCTGCTAACCAAAAGGTCGGCAGTTAGAATCCACCAGCCACTCCTTGGAAACCCTATGGGGCAGTTCCACTCTTTCCTACAGGGTCACTATGAGTCAGAATCGACTCAACGGCAATGAGTTTCTTTTTTTAATACCTTTCTATAAGGCAAATATTTCATAATAAGTTTTCCTAAGATTTCTATCGATTACTACCTATTATATGTACTTACAGTTGGGAAAGTTACTTCTCCATAGGTCTCTCAGACTCCTACATGTCTTGCTGGGTATGCCAAGAATGCAAGGTCCTGATCACACCTTACCCAGATCTTTTCTCAGGATTTTGTTTGCAGTAACTTCAGGGATGAAGTAATGTCTCACACCAGGACAAAGAGCAGGCTTGCTCACTGCTTACTATAAAAGCAATGGATTCCCTAAGCCCAGTGTTCCTCTCCTATAACACATGTGCAGACATCCATCTGGGCCCATTCATATCACTCTCATGGGATTTGGACGGCAAGGAGAACTGATGCAAACATGATGTCATTTTGCTTGCTGGGCCATGAGTAATAAAATTCTTTGTCTCTGATCCAGGAGTCTCATGTATTCTGCCTTTATTCATGAAACAGTAATAAGATGATTATTAGTTTCTAAGTAGGGAAAAAGTAAAATCCTAGTTCCTGGTACATATCTGTACTGATATCAATTCAGTAAAAAAAAAAAAAAAAAAAAAATTTTTAATTGCCATTTACTGAATATGGACCAACGTGGCACTTTATTCACTGAATCAAAAGCACAAGCTTTCTTTCTATAATGGTTCCTACTCTCTGAAAACTAACTTGCCACAGGAAAAAAAGGGGATTCCTTCTTATCCTGTGAGGAATAGCTACCTGCAAGGAAACAGGACCGGGGTGTAAAAAAGAAAGAAAGCACATCTTAAACATTTCCACTAAAAGAAAAAAAAAAAAAAAGCACAAGAACAACAATTGAAAATAAAGGAAGATACTGTATGCCCCTGAAGAACTTTGAGGAAACACAATGCTGAGGGAACGAAATAAAGCAGAAAACAGAACTCAACATGATTTTTAATCAGAAGGTATAGGCAGGCTTTCTTTTTCAAGGCCCTTATGTATTTAAACAAAAGACTACAATTATTTCCTCCGTCTGCCCAAACCAACCAACTAACCAACCTACTCTTAGGTGTCAGGGAAGCCACATCAACTTAGAAATTGGTGTGGGCATCCTTCAAAAGTATTAGTCTTAAAGTTAAGAATTTTTAAACAGACATAAAATTAGTTCTGAAGACTAGAACTATATATCTCCTCCCTACCTCCTCACAGATTCTGATAGGATCACATCTCACCACCCCAGCTGAGAATCATTGTAGGACTGAGCCAGGGTCAGGGAGTGTGCTGTACAGGTCCCTCTATATGCAGGGTTGGGGTCAAAAGGCTGAGAACCACTAAGGTAAGCTGTTTTTCCTGACGAAAGAAAGTGATTTTTAAGAAAAGAAACTGATGACCTCTCTGAAAAAAGAGAAAAATACTTTGGATAAAATGAAACATAAACACAGTCAAGAGTAAGTTATACTTCTCAGACTGACTATATTAAATAGGTACCATATGTCTAATTTCTACATTGTGTTCTCTAACTCTATTTACAGCTCTACTTAACACCTTCATCTAGGCCACCACATAGTGTGGAGGTGCTTCAGATGACACAACAGCTTAAAATAATCGCATGTGTCTTTTTTACCTATAGACTGGACCAGATCAATGTCCTACGGTCAGCTGAGAAAATGTCATTTTAAAAACAGTTTACTTTGTACACCACAAGTAGGGAAAAGCCACATTCTCTAAACTGGACTGGCAAAGCCAAACTGCCCAACAGAGTTTCCAAGCAGCAGTTGGTGGATTCGAACTGCCGACCTTTTGGTTAGTAGCTGTAGCTCTTAACCACTATGCCACCAGGGTTTCCATGATAATGATAGTTACAATAACTACATCTTACGTCGTACCAGGCATTGAACTAAGGGTCCTAAAAACATCTCAATTAATCTATACAATACCCCATATGAGGTATGCATTATTACCCCCATTTTAAAGAGGAAGGACATGAGGTGCAGATGCAAAGTACCGTAATCTGCCTAAGGCGACACAGTTAGGAAGAGGCAGTCAGAGGACAGACCCAGGTCTGCTCACTGGACTGTCTTACTTCTACTAAGGTCTTCTCTTCATATTTTGAATAATTCCCCAAAACACACACGACAGAATGAATGGATAAGCTATCTCAGAAACGAATGAAGGACATCCTTTCCCCTTTTGCAATCTACCATGGTCTGCTTAACCTGTGTAAGAAGAGTAAGTCTAAATTATTTTGGTAAAGTTGTAGTGCAACTCCCTCAAAAACCTTACGGCACTTCACCCACCCAATCAGATTAATAAAATCTTTCTTAATGATATGTCTAGGGCTAATTCACCACCGTTCCGCAGTGACACCCAGTCTCTACCAGATGCTGACAAGGGACTACAGAGGTTACTGTGCCAACAGCTCTATGATCAAATACACAAATAAGTAATTCTCAAAAGTGGAAAAGCGCTAAATGACCAACAATCCTTCAAGTATGCACTAAGGACCTAAGGACCACTGCTGGTTCACACAGGTCTACTGGACCACCATGGGCTGGTCTCCTGTGACAGTCATAACAACAGAACAGGTATTTGCTTTTTCATTTATAGATTTACCTTTAGGATTAAAAAAAAAAAAAAAATTGGATACTGCCTTATTAGCTTCTCAAAACAAGCAGTAAGAGTTCTTCAACTGATTTTGTCTGCATTTTATAGCAATAACAGAGAATAGGTAAAAAAGGGCAGGGTGTGTGGGGGATGCTAAGGGAGGCTTATGGAGGTCTGCTCAGCCAAGGAAACCACTGCTCTGAGAA